AGGTGGTTCTGAGAGGTTGTTTTGCACTTTTTAAGAACCAAGCAGCCAAGCTGTAATGCGAGCGAGGAAAGTACTGACGACAGCGAAAACTACAAAATGGTCACAGCGCGTAATATGCAAACCTGGGTCGGCGTCGGGTATCTGGTACACAGCAGGGGGGTCGGCACGCCTCCAAGACGCTTGATCATATCTTCGGACATGGGTGCGGACTGAACGGCCAAAAGACCATCAACGAGTCAACACATCACGACCAACGACCAACTGAATTGAAATGATCTGAATAGTGAGGCGCGGAGAGGCAGAGAGTCGAGACGATGCACAAGCACCGGGCAGGTCACCGTTACCAGCGGAAGGGACAGCGGCAACGGTACGATGTCGTTTTGCACGTCGCGTCGCGAACACACGTACGAACGGTTTAGACCGGAGGCGACGACAACCACCAGCCGGCAGCGTGCAGCAGACAGGAGGTAGTGGCGAGGCGAGGCAACACAAGGTAAAGGCGATGCGGCAGGAATCAGGAGAGGCGGGTAAGCGGGCAGACAGGCAGATGGACAGACGGACAGCGGTGCGGCGGTTCGCCGCAGGATCACGGTGACGTTACGCAGACGCGGCTACAACAAATCGTACTGACGGCCACCAAACGGAGAGCACAGTAAACATTTGCCTCGGTTTCTTGCAACGACATTGATTATACGGCACCGAAGCCGGAGAAAGAGCCGGAGCGGCAGTGGAAGTGGGAGCGAGCGCACACCACGCACACGACTTCATTAGTGACTGACTATCTGTTTTCATGACCACAAAAACGACTGGGCGTTTCGAGTCCATGCACTCAAACAGTTTGACGCCAGCCGGCTGGCCGGCTGGCCTGCGACAGAAAATTTTTATCGATTTGCGATAAATTACCTCGAGCATTTAATCACTATCAGTTTGAAATCCCGTTGCCACGCAAATCACCCCCCGGAATAAGATCAATACACTTACGACAAGAACACCACAGTGAATTAGAAAGACGGTCGGTTCGATTGTCGGCTGGCGCGGATCTCAACTTTGCTGAGGAGGCCACTTGACGTACAATCGCTTGGAGAGGACCAACTTGCCTGTTCGTTGGTCGTGATGTGTCGGTCAACGTCCTCGGTCCTGCTTTAGCATCGACTTGTTGCACGCTACCGTCCGTCACAGTGTAACGTTTTCCTCCCTCCGTCCTCTACTGCGCTCCAGCTCAAGAAATGCTGGAACTGCTGCCTTCCCAGGAGCCGATCGAGCAGTGATCGCCCACTTCTGACTGGCTTAGAAATCAGTCAAGGTACTGAACTCTTCAGAAAACGATACTGTCCATCCACAACTGTGTGCACATACAGTCACAATAGTATTGATGATGATAACGACGACGATGCTGATAAAGGTGATGCTCGTAATAAAAACAGTATTGATCAAGATGGTGGTCACGATGGTAATGATAATGATTGTCGTCGTTATCAGCCTCATCGTCGTCATCATCATCAGGATCGTCATTAAGTTCATGCAGAAGGTGACCGTGGAGAAAACGGGACGACAACGCTGAGTGAAACGAAAACGAGGAGTATCATACCACTGACGATTACCAAGACGATTGTTAATCATCGTGATAAGGATGACAACGACGAATGATAACCCCACATCTCACATACATAGAAACAGAACTAGTTCAAACACTGTACCTCCAGACCATGAAACTGTGCGCTGACTCATCTTGTTTCCATTATCAGTTCTAAAACTCCGCACTCCTAATAGAACTCACGCATGCTGTGTGTAGCGTTGCTTACTGCATGCTGCACAAAACAAAACATCTGACACTGCTCACAGACAGAGAGGACATTAAGAACCTCGAAAATACAAATTAATGAACGCAGGTATAATCCTTCTGAATAAATATCTGAGCCCTCACCCAGCTTCGCTGCTCATGCTTCTGATCATATTTACGAACTGCTTGAAAGCACTGTATCAGTGTCTGATGCTAAGTAAGATAAGGTCAAACTCGTGATCAACGAATAATTGCCACATAATGATCACTCGTGATAATGCGACAATTGCGATATCGCTTCAGTATTTTAGAACCATAAACAACATGCAAATCACATGGCCAAAGACGTCAGAACACGCTGTAATGGATATGCATTTGGACTAAAATTTAGTCCAAAGTGTTAATTTCTTATGCAAGACAATGCAAATTTCGAACCCAGGTACAAGCTGCTGAAATGGGCTTTCTTAGACGAGTCGCTGGCCTTACGCATCTCGACATGGTCCGGAA